CGGTAAAACAATTAAAGTACAATTTACGTACAAGCGAAGAGCAAGCGTAATTTTAAACTGGTCTTCGAATCCATGTTGTTGCTTTAAAATACCAATCAGTTGACGTGTCACTGGTATTCTAAAAATTCCTATCCGTGATCCGTTATTCTCGTAGTCATGCTTGATTTATGTTCCCCTTGCTCTTGCGTTAAAATGATAATCGCACAGATTATTTGAGAAAAGTCGACTGAATCACTGAACAAGCAACATTCAGATATGCTATGTTTGGCACAGAAAATCGTGACGACTCTTTCCGTGTTGAGGAGCATGTGCAGGTGCATAAACAAATGAAAACGAGAATATAAATTGTAATCATTGAGTAATTGACCTTCGTGTTTTCTCCATGACGTGTATAATTGTTGACTGTCGTTGAGTATATTGTGCGAACCAGTTTGTCATTTGATGCCACCACAAAGGAGTGCCCTCTATAGGTACACAGGAGGTAACTTGAATTGTCTAATCATCATGTAATTCCTATCACCTGAAACAGAATATTGTGAACTTAACTATGGTGTAACTTCAGCGAACATTTAGGAACTTGTCCCGACGGCAGTTCCCCATTGACCCAAAATGGAAACACGGTGGCTTGCCTCCCGACTGTTCCAAATTCGTGTCCCGCCGGCTACGGTTGCCAGCTTGTGAAACAGAGCTACGTATGCTGCAGAAGCGCGGTGGTAATTGGTACGCATTACATATTCATATTTGTAAGATAGTTGTTCTCATGATCGTCGACTAAAGCGTCAAAACCTGAACGACCGCGTAGTTCAGATTTATGACTCCTGATAGCTTGAACTGATATATTAAAGAGTGTCCCCTGCCTCTTCATCGACGTGCTTCGAATATTCGCATAATTTTTAACCGCGCGGGACAGCCAGCGGACTGCTCATGTAATGCAAGAGTTGTGAACATGTTTTTTTTCTGTTTTTTCGCTTTGTCAAACCAAGCAAAGAGCCGGCTTCCGAGTTTTATCGGATTTTTCGCACTAAAAGCCATCAAAACCTGCTTGTTTTTAACACTGGGTATCAACACGCTTTAAGTTTATTTCACAGGCTGCAGTACGTGAATCCGAAAACATAGACCAACTTACGTTCCTAGCTCTGCATGAGCACAGCGTCTACAGCTTCCTTCTAGGTAATGATCTTCGTTGCTTTTGTTGTAGTCCATTTTCGCAAGTTTTCTGCTTTAATATTTCATAAAATTTACTGACCCCAGTTTATTTCCGGATAAGTAACAAACGGCTAACTTACCCAGAACTGGTTGCGCGATTGTCGCACCGAAGATGCTACGAAAATTATTATGCTGCAGTGAACACTGCCGGCAGGTGTAGGCAGTGTCTAGTTGAACAGTCTTGTAAACGTATATTGTTAAGCATTTCATGAATCGTGTAACGCTGTCATGCAGAGAGCGAATTAGTAAGTTGTTGGCCATCGACTGGTGCAAATACCTGGGCGACATACGAGGCCAAATTCTCTTGAATCGGCGCCGTTTAGCGTTTAACAGAAGTATCAGTAATGCTTGCCAGAACAAACACAAACTGCAGCCTCAGAACCATAGGCAGTAAAAGGAGTGACGCTATTTACCGTATTACGTGTCATAAAATTACGAATGATTGTTTTCCGGCAAAAATCATATGAAATGCTTTTCCTAGGAACGTGTCCAAGCGGCTTGCAGCCATTCATCGTCAACGGAATCCCGTTGGCTTGCACTCCTGGTTCGGTTGTGGCATGTCCACTCGGTTTCACCTGTCAACCCAGTACAAATGGAGTTGGATATTTGTGTTGTTCCGGAACAGTAGATCCAGGTAAAACACATGAAGGATACATGCATAACATTGGAGATAGTGCATGCGTTCGTAATGCTGAAGATGATACTGTATTTTGGCAGTCACCAGTGCGAGAACAGAGCATAAACATTTTACTTACAAACATTCTAAAGGAAGTGCCGACGTTTCGAAACAAACCCTCATCTGTCAAATAAGTGGTTATTTTTATGCGGGTCGCGTTGGTTCCTATGATTCGATGGCCCGAAGCGACCGCCTCATGTTATCCGTCTATGTGTCGCTGACATCTGCGCCAAGGTGCGATTCACGCCTTGTCAAACTCACTGCTACTCTGAAAAATGGCGGGTGTAGAATGGTCCAAAACGTCAGCATCTATTATGATAAATAATTATATCCGCTTTTATCCCGTTTATGACTTGTTGAAGCACTATGCAAACGTATGTGCCTCCAGGTTATGTGACGCCATTAATACCTTTTTTATAAACTACAAGGTTGCTGCTAGAGAAAAGTTAATTTCACCGAAGAACAATTTTCTGTTGACCAGTGTCACGTAGGGAAGAGAAAGTCTGTCGATCTGCAGTTATTTGTTTTTTATCGTTTGGCTAAGAATTTGTTTCAGCGTTTCATGTTCATCTAAAAAACATCCAGTCATCGTTCGCATGTTAAAGTCTGAGTTTCCGATATCTATGCTCGTGTAGCGGCCTTCCCGTATGGCAGAGTTCAACTCTATGACACACTTTTGACGTGATGAACCAATTCTCAGACAGAGTATTCGTCTTTTGCAAAGATTACATTAGTTTTGTAGCGACAGGGTTTACGGTATGTCGCTCAACATGGTTTGACCTTTATCAAAACAGCGCATATTATATAACGTGAACGATTCTAGCAAACGTACGCTTTGCATGTATTCTGCGCCGCTTGTGAGCGTCTATGAAGGAAAAATAAATGAATCATTTCAGTTTATCATTTTTCCAAGCCGCAAAACTTTTGTTTGATCGTTTATCCTATGGCAGCAGTTATAGTTTGCTTTTTCTGAATTTTTTATACCATGTTTATATGCAGTACTTAGCAGACCGTTTTTTCTGAAATTAGAATATTACAAGGCCTGTTGAAATCCAGTTCTACAGACAGCGTATAATATGAAGCTTTCGTGGATCAGAAGTATGAATTCCATAGAGCATCAACAGCTGCTAAAGAAGAAAGATAGATAAAAATCGCGGTTACATTTTATGCTGATCTTTACAATGGATAATCAGCCATCAAGTGGGTGGAGGCAAAGTGGAGCTAGCAGGAGAGTTACACTGAACAACATGGCCGTACATCTCGTCTATTTTGGAGTGACCACACCAGAAAACCATGTTGTCCCTGTTTTTCTTAAGCTTTGTCCATTTCTCGTCTGTTTGCATTCAAGCAACGAGAACGTGATTCCTTGTTCAAGAGACATCACGGTTAATTGCAGACTGCATTTTGAGCGGATTAGAACCCGGAGCTTCCGGAGTTCAGAACCGATCTTTGTTACTGTGACACCGCGTTCCAAGAAAGACTGCCAAAACATTTTACTCTGCTTATGAAATGTTTGCATTATTGAGACCGATGGTGAACGAAATCGCGTAGAATACTTTTTAGGAAAACCACAGACTTTTTCATACCCTGTTTGCACATTCAGTGTTTCTTTCACGATTACTTGCAATATCGCAACGTGTATTGACAGAACGTATATTTGCTTAAAATTACAGTACTTTATTTAGGAATTTGTCCAAACGGAATTCCGCCATATTCAATAAACGGAAATGTGGTTAGATGCAATGGCTTGGGACTCGGTGGATGCCCGGCTGGCTTTACGTGCCAAATTAGTACCAAAGGACTTCCGGTCTGTTGTCCATCTGTGAATCCGATCAATCCAGTCGGTAGGGAATACGCCAAGTTTTACGAGTTAATGTAGTAGCAAATCATAAATGATAAGACGCGGCATCGTCAATAATTTTTCAGTATTGCAACGTTCTGTCTATATTTAATGAAAGCTCAAAATTAGAGCTTGGTGCTTGTCCAAATCTTTCAACAAGTTCTGATTTTAGTGTGGGAAAAAGAAAACATAAACGCAAGTCACACAATTTGCAGTGAAACTAAAATAAACTGTAACTCTCGATGACTCTCGACTTTGATTCAATGTCCAAAGGCTTTATTTCTGTAGATACGCACTTCATCGTCAGACATATGGTGCATAGTCAGGCTCCCTTCACTTACAGTTTGATACTATGAAAGAGTCAACAGTTCTCCAGCACTAGATAGTTTCTTCCTGGTCACCTACCAATTAGTAAATCAGATGTCAGGCGGAAGCAGTTGGTTCCTTAATCGTCGTGCGCCATGGTGGAATCGTGGGGAGGGGGGAGGGGGTTGCGTAAAAGCTGGCAGGCGCGCCTACGGTTGTCGTCAATCTGACTTTTCGGCAGATCATGGTGTTGCTACTCGACGCTAGCCACACGACGTATGAAGGAACCAAATGGTGCCTGAAGTATAAGTACTCATCAGCTTTGGAAACTCGAGCTGGAACACAGATGCGAATTCCACAAAAGATGTCCGAAATTCTCTTCTCAATGAACAACAAGGAGGCACGAACTGCTTATCGTGATGAAGATCGCACTGGTGGAGCAGGGCCTGGGCCCGGTTCAGATTATCGACTTTGAAAGTTGCTGTCATCCGATATTGCGGTTTATGAATTAACCTCGCTGCCTGGTTTAAACGATGCCAGACATTCTGAAATTGTTGAAACATAAATTCCTCAGTGATTTCGCTACCGCCTTAAACTATTCCACGTGCCTGTGGAAGCGCTCGTCGCAACGGCACTTGTGTCAATAAAAGCATCGATCAGAGAGATGAGATCTTGCCTAACAAACTTCATTAAACATGAACTAAACTCACGTTGTCCATTTTCAAGAAATTGCCCAAACTGCCTTTTGCAGTAAACGGAAACCCAATTCATTGCAGCGGTCTTAGATTTGGGGGAGGTTCAGCGAGATATATATGCCAACCCAGTACCATGGGACTTCTGACGCGCTGTCAGCTTGCAAATCCGGTCAATTCAGTTGGTAAGCAGTATGTCAAATTTTAGCCTCAAACTATTTACCTATTACTGAATGTTCTTTATATATGAAAGTTGTTTGAGTAATATATTTATTTGTCTCTGAATGTTTCCATTCTTGCATATTGAAGCTAAGGTTGCAGAAAATCAATATACCTCAAATAGCACGATTTTCAGGAATCTGCCCGAATGGAAGTCCGCCGTATGCGATAAACGGAAATGCGGTGCGGTGCAACGGTGTGGGACAATCGGGATGCCCTCCCGGTTACGTTTGCCAGATAAGTACGACTGGAAATCTGATATGTTGCCAGTCGCTGAGCCCTATCAATCCGTACGGTACGCCGCTAATCATGCTTTACTGTTTAATCATTGAGGTATAGGATAAATTTTTTAAATATGCTGCTATCGATGCCCGCATCTTTTTCTCACAAGAGATAGTATTCCTTTACTTGAATTAAAATGTGTAACTGCACTTGCAAATACTTACTATAAGTTAGGTCACTTTATAAATAAAATGTTTACAAAGTAAAGTTTGATAAAATAAATTTTGCACTGGTTTTCCTCACTCGAAATCTGCTGCATGATCATACAGACGAATTTTAAGCAGATTGGAGTAAGTATCGTTTGGCTTGTTTTACTAGGCGGTCGAAGGCCTAAATAGATCGTCATGCATCCTGTAGGATATTGCTGAGAATCATCCTTCTCCTACAAAACGTTTTGAACGCCAAAACTTTAGGTTAGCCTATTTTTTCCAGATATACTAATCATATAATATACGATATGTGATGCCCTGACTGCCGAACAATGCTGTCAGTTTACAACTGGCAGACTGGGAAATCATTACCAATGTTTATCGTTCAGGAAATTAGCGATTGTTACAAGAGTTTGTTGCTTTCCTTCCCAGAGTCTATCCAAGTTTTTGTTAAGATTGAAAGCATCCACTGCTTGCAGAATGCTGTTACAGCACCCTTTATTGCCTGTTCGATAGTCAGAATAGGTAGTGGAAAAGAACAGCGTATTGAGGGTGAAATGTGTCGCTAAGAAACTGACTTGGCTAGACATGTTAATGAGGTGAAGACGGCGTCCATCGAAAATGTCAGCAATGGTTGAAGTTGAATGTTGCCCTGCGAGGACAGAAAGTTGACGAATCTCTGGAGGGGGCCCGGAAACATGCGGGTCAGAGCAGTGGGTATTATAGCATGGCACAAGCCTTCATGAAAAGATTTATCAATGATCTCGGTGCCTGACAGATTTCGAAGCCGCGCACATACGCCTTCCAGCTAAACGTTCTGTTAACCATTACATCTACGCATTTCGTTATTGAACCAGGTGCTAATCTTAACTCATGAGACTCATACAAGTGAAGCAAGTAACTTGTTTTAAAAGTCTTTCGTAGCAAACGTACGTTCGATTGATTTCTGTATATTCGCGATCAGGGCGATGTTCTTCGCTCGAGTTATTCTTGCCTTGAAACAGTTATTTTAAAGGCCAACATCGGAGCATCGATAGGAAAAGCAGTGTTCAGAAACACATCTGCAAAAGTCGTTAACCAACGTTTGAGAGACGGTATTATCTAAGGTGAGCTTTAACTTACATGCATTCCTAGCCTTTCTTTAGTTCTGTTTCTGCCAGTTGATTCCTTAGTCACAAGAGCACCTTCGCGAATGTTTCGCTGGTCAGCAGGTGCCACAACGTTAAACAGTTTAAGTTCAGTTTACTGTTTGAAGATAACTTCAAGAAAATTTACTTTTTAACAACAGCAACAAAAAGTCAATAAAAACATTGCATCATCCAGTAGACAATGAAGCAAGAGTAGAGCAGAAGTTGAAAGCATAGACACTTTTAAAAATAATGGCAAATATTATTGTTCATATTATTATTGTCAAAAGCAAAAGATATTATTGCACTTTAAAAGTAGCAGAATACTCCGCTTGCGTCCGTTTAAAGATGTGAGGAATTTGGCTAACGTCTGAATTGTGGATCTTCAGCGCAGTTTCATTCATGCGTGCATGTTTAGGATACATGATCTAATAGATGAAAACTTGACTTCTTCCTATGACTTTAGCATGCAGTAACTAACGGCTGTTGCGAACAATCTTGACTTTTTGCAAGATCATCAGGTATTGCCTGTTAAACCACATGCAAATTAGGTGCCTATCACATGATCAACTTGTCTAGCAATCAATTTTAGCGACAGCTTCATTACCTTGAACTCACATAAAAAAACCTGGAAACTAACGAACGCTACGACATACAAAAAGGAATGAGTTGGTAGCTTCTTTGTATCCGTGTTTGTTTGAAGTTACTCTTGGCATTTTATCAAAGAAGTTTCCATTTATCACCGATGTTGCTCGGTTGGCAGAGTTTCGTACTCAGAATCAATAGGTTTCAGGTTAGAGCCCCGACCGAGACACTCGTCTTCCTTTTATCGGCGGTTGATAAATGAGTGCCACTCTGTTGGAAGAACAAGAGACTATAAACTCTCCTTGCCACACGGCTGCCGTAAAATCTTTTTTTAAAAAGGCACTCCTAGCTGATGGCATAGAAATCACAAGTTTCACGAAAAGAAGGGCACCACAAATGGCTCGCAGTTATGAAAATGTAAGGAAATCCGACATCCATACGTTTAAACACAAACAAAAACACTGTCTGCGAAAAGGCGAAACTTTATTCCTTCCAACAGAGGCAAAGTTAGTTACCCATGCCATTGTTTCAAGTATGAGGAATTTTTACGAGTTTGAGCTTTCAACCCAGGCGTTTTACGCTTGAGCAAAGCCAAAAGCTTTCTTGATCAAATTTTCAGCCCTTTTGATCGGCTAACAGTCCATAGAGTCACGTTTGAAAAACAGGTGTATCCGATGAGTGAAATCGAACAGACTCATCTAAAAACGGAGTACCAAACTTTAACATCGTCAGTCAGTAGTGGAGAAGGAGAAGGGTTACAGACACATCGTTTGTGGGATCCATCGTCTGGAGGACCCGTACAAAAAATAACAGTTTTTTTAACAACGTAAGTTTTTGAGTAGTAAAGCAGCTCAACAGGTTCAGAGTTACGAAGTATTACCTTAAACTTTTGACACCCTGCTCTTTCTCAAGTGCTGTTTCTCTTTCTGCCTTTTGGGCAGCTGACTTTCTCACTTTACCGGGTGTGCTGGGCCGTGATGGAAGAGTGGAAAAGAGGTCGGCTTCTAATTCCAGAGTTTTCAAGTTCGATTCCTGTGAACCGTGATTTAACCCTGAATTCTCTTATGCAAGGAATTTACCTTTGTTGTTTCGGTGAAACCAGCCAAGAAACTGGTAGCAACAGGTCGTTCATTACGCGCAACGAGGGCATCAAGGTGTTCTTGCATTGTCGTACCAGATCGGGGGTGAGGTGCGGCCACCCCGTCTGATGGGAGCTTTTCACAGAGCATCAATTCTACTGGATCCACCTGATTGATGCCTATTTAATGTGATAATCAGCAAAGGGTTTCATTTCTGTTCGTTCAATAGTCGATACGTGCATATCCATGCATGTCCGGTCCTTCCCGTTTTTTCATGCAGTAGGTGGTCCTCCTACTTCACCGCCAAATGCTGTTTTTAATGAATGACGAGTATACACGTGCAAACTGTTGACACTTCACGCATTAATCGCAGTATTTCTTTGTGCTATATTCTCATTAATTGAATTTTTGAGAAAATAGTTACATGTAAGTTGCTGTGTGTATAAATGGTAAATCTTCGGTTGATATTCTGATAGATGTTTGTGACATTGTACAATTTTTAAGGACTATGTCAAAGTGGCTTCTCCCCGTTTGCCCAAAATGGAAATGTCGTAATGTGCACACCAGGAGGTATTAACCAATGCCCTCGTAATTTCGTGTGCCAGTTGAGTACCACCCAACATTACGTTTGCTGCTGGAATCAAGTACGAATGGGTAAGACTTTTTGTTATTTAATTTCAGCCATTTTTCCAGTTTACCGAATGCCAACCGCATCATTTTTAGAAGTCAGATTACAGAACGACATATAATGCAGTCAGACAGAGAGTGAGGGTGCATCTCCAACAGTAAATTGGCCGGTCGGTTCATCAGTCATTTGTTGCATCAGATTGGCTACGAATTTCTCAAGCTCTGTTCTGGCAATTATTAAAGGGAGAAATGAATTTTACTATTAGCCTCCATGAAAGAATCACGTGGATTTTATTCTGACATTGCTGAATTGCATCACGTCTTATAGTGTCCGAAAGCTGACCACTCTAATCCATTATCTGGTTTATCCTCGATATCGGTGTGCCGTGAACGCTCGTAGATGTTCCTTCAGAAATCTCTGTTTTCTGCGTTCTAATTCCCTTCTGGCCCAGTAATCTGAATAACGGTTCGTCCTAGTGTGTTCTTCTCCAGTCGGAGCCCAGTGTGTAATTTTTCATCTCCGTAGATTGTCTTTAAAATGAGCCACGTCGTTTGACCACCTTCCTTTCACGTTGTAGAAAACAGAAATTATGTGTTAGTCAAATCCGTTCTCGAATGTGTGAACTTGGAAAGTGATCCCAGTAAGTGAAACCGGTCACAGGGCCATAGTGTCATTTTTGGACCTGCCTGGATTTGTACATATCTTATACATAAG